TGAAGTTGGTGCCTGTCTGGATGTACAGCCACAAATCATTGCAGAGGCAAGCAGTTATGGTCAGAGAAACCAGAGAGGAATTTGTTAGTTACCTGAAGGTGACTCAGGAAATGCATTGCTGGCAGAGCATACACTTGAAAGATTTGGACCGGGTGATGGGCTGGATAAAACCACCATTTCTTAGCAGATGTCATATTCTCAGTTACAAATGAAAGTGCTGTAACACCCAGACCTAATCGTAGTGAACACAAGCAATCTTTTAAGCAATGTATGAATAGAAGGTTTATATTCAAATACCAGGTTAATTGCTGACTGTGATGATTAGACAAATGTAGTGATTTTTTTTGCCAGTTTTGCAGAAACTTTCTGAATACATTTCCTGGCCTCCAAGAAAGCTGCTTACCTGCTGTATTACACTATCAGTCCTTATCCCTAACAACCTCAGTCCTGCTCTGGCTTGTCTGAGCTGTGTGTTGCAGCAGGAGCTAGAAAACTTGGGATGTTACTGTACAGAATGGTGGGTAGTGTTTTTAGGTATCTTTGTATACAAACAAATGCAGCTGATTGAAGCTGGCTGCCCAAAGAGATTTCTGCCTCCATCTGCACACCCCACTCTTTTCTCAACAGTTACGGGGATTTCAAGTTACTTGAAAGGCTACACTGGAAATGGGCCTCAGGAGCCGCTTCACATGTAGTTCAGCTCCTGCTGATGGAAATGGAGCAAATGTGGAGAAAGGACACTTCATGCTAGCATTTGATGGTATTTGGTGGGACGTTTCAGTTCAACCATCAGCTGTATGGCATACCTTGCAGCCCTGGCTGCCAGCTCAGAGGAGGATTTGACTGCTTACTTATACAGAGCGGCTGGCACACAAACATGCTCCTGCTTCACTGATCAACACATTTTGCCTCGTATGCTTCAGGCCCATAAGCTACAGAATTGAGCCTGAAGGAAAGAGTAGCTTTTCAGAGTCTATGCAGCCATCTAGTGTTATTGTAGATATAGTACACCGGTTAACATCTGAGCCCCGGCTCACTGCAGAGCTTTCTTCCTGCACGTCTCCCAGCTGAATGTTTAACTCTAAGTTAAAGGAGATTTAGTTAAATTTCCTAATCCACTAATCCTGATGACCTCTGAAATTTTTAACCACCTAAAGGCTGTGCATATGGATGGAAGAGAGACTTCTGCTACAGTATTTCTTTTAGACAGATAGTGCAGGTTGCTTCCCTCAGGAAGAGCAAAAGCAAGATGTTTTGGCTGCTGCTGCATTTTAACAGCACTAATTCTCAAGAAAAGAAAAAAAAAAGAAAAAAGAATTGAAGATTATTGAGTGAACTTCAGGGAAGCCACTGTTATCTGCCACTATGTGGGCTCCACAGTGCTTTGAAGACTTTCACACGTGTTCAGGAGTTGGAAGCCTTGTACATACATTGTAAATGAGTGAGACAAATATCCTGGCTGTATTTCTCACTTCTGTCGCCTAGAGAAAACCAGCTTATTTAAAGTCCCAGATTCCAACTTCAGCAGTCAGGGCAATTAGTACAAGGCACTGCTCTTACTGCTTGGAATAAATTCATTAGGAAAACTGCGTAGGCACAGAGCATGATGAAACAACACACATTTTTGTGTTGCATACCAGAGCAACAAGTAAATTTCAAAGGTGACAGCCCAGAGTTACTGTGACTTCACAGCAATCACTTGGCTGACCTGAGAACAGAACCGTCTTTGTTTACAATCTGCATTTTTTCTAACTCTTATCTACTCTCTTGCACTGTAATTTCCCCCAGCCCCCTCTATGCCTCTAGGTTCAGCCTTCTCTGCACCTTGCATTACACTGTACAAATGTCCAGGTGTTACAAGGGACTTTCATCTTACAAAACAAAAGGTGATGGACCAGGGACTATCTGCACTGCAGTAACAAGTCACTGCCTAGTGAGACTAAAGACATTTCTTCTAGATAGAAGTTACACATTATAAGCTGTTTGCTTTGGCTGAACAGTAAAACTAAAAATATGCCATGGAGATGCACCATCTTCTGGATCCTGCTGCACTTAGGGAAGATGCTACCAAGTCTGCACATTCAACATTATTTGCTGACTGAAGTGGCCCTACTCCAACCCCTAAGAATCTGCCCCGTGAGTATTTTACATAAGCATTCCCTTATTCACCTTGTGAGGTCAGACCATTAAAATCAAATATTAAAGTCTCAGTCTCAAAAGTGGTTGAAGGGGAGCAGTGATCAGCAGCACTAACTCATTCCATGATGATAGCTGCATATGGAGAGGAGTGTTGGCATCGTCCCACTCATGTGTGCTAAGCCAGGATAAGTACACTCATCTGCAAGGCTGGACATGAATCTTCTGCATATTCCCTGGTAAATGTCTGTCTCTGGGATGCTAAAAGCAGGCCACAGTGTGTGTCCAGCAGGCTCCAGGCCCAACTGTCTGATTTTGTACCATTTGCCTGGGATAGGTTTTTGAAAGATACACTTTACAAAGAGTCCTTTATTGCATGAAGTTTTGTGATTGTAGGATATCGGAATGTCACCAAAGAAAAGTCTGATTAACTACAATTTTGTCACTTATTCCTGCTGACCAACAGGGCAAACAGTATTCCAGCCCTATGTACTGAGTAGTTGAACATAAAAACATCTCATATACAAAGGAAAATACTCTTCTATAAGCTAAGAGAGCACTCTCCTGCTGCATCCCACAGGCAGGATTCTTGGGCTAGGGATGGATGCAGACATGGCATGGTGGGAGGGAGGATGAGGATTTGACAAGACAATGCAGTCTCTCCCTCCAGAAAGGAATGGCCATGGCCCCACCATGCAGCAGCATATCCCCCTGCCCCAAACAACTTGCAATCATGGTGCTGAGCAGAGCAGGAAATGGCTGAAACAACACTGTCTTATTCAAGACGTGCTGACAGAACAGATCTTTATTATTATTACTATTATTTTTTAAAGAAGCAGAGTTATTAACATATATTTCCCAACCAAAATCTTTGCAGTTTCATTTTCTCAAGCGCTTCTAAAGCTTAGTGACACCTTCACCTTTGCTTCCCACCTGGAACTGGTGCTGGCATCTAAGTCACCACTAAGTACTTTGGAAACTGCTTAGAGTCTCACACAGATAAAGATACCTTAAAAAATAAAAGTTTTCTTTGATTATTTATTTTGATGTCTTGAGACTGATTGAAAGTGAAAAAGAATTGTAACCGCAAAGCCAAAACCAGTAAACTTTATAAGGCAACCTTTGATAGTGCTGCCTCAGCTGCAGGTAGGACATCCAGGATGTAGATGAAGACATGTCATTAAGATACAAGAATGTAGTGGTCAAGAGCTATGAGGCAGATGTAAGACAAAAACAAGTCATCCCTGCCAACTCTGCAGTGCACATGCTTGAGGGAAGAGGTTACCAAAGGTCAGCTGAGGAAGACTATTGAAAGGGGTCCTTGGGACCACCTAGAGAGACTCAGGACACCCAACACACATGCACAGAGGGGTGGAGAAGCATGCAAAGAACTTATCGGAAACAATATGATTGTTCTCAGAAGTATAATGCATATGTACAGCTTAAGCATGTATGTATAGCTACAGTCTGAAAGCAAGGCACGTGAAGGGCTTGGAGAACATGCCTACAAGGAGAGACTGAAGAAACTGGAGCTGTTCAGTCTGGAGAAAAGGAGGCTGAGGGGAGACCTTATTGCTCTCTTCAATATGTGAAAGGTGCTTACAGCGAGGGTGGGGTTGGTCTCTTCTCACTGGTGACAGGTGAGAAGAGAGGGGAAATGGCCTCAAGTTGTACCAGGGTAAGTTTAGGTCGGATCTCAGGAAACACTTCTTTACAGAAAGGGTTGTTAAGCACTGGAACAAGCTCCCCAGGGAGGTGGTTGAGTCAGCATCCTTCGATGTGTTTAAAAACCGTTTGGATGTGGTGCTCAGGGACATGATTTGGCAGAGAGTTGTTAAAGTTAGGGTAGTGTGGTTAGGTCATGGTTTGACCTGATGATCTTTAAGGTCTTTTCCAACATCAGTGATTCTATGATTCTATAGGTGGAGCTACCCCCAGTGCATCTGGTGGTGCAGTGAAGGAGTGCCTGCCTCTTGATGCTACATTGGTGTTAAGAAGCTTCTCAAGGCTGCATTCTGTTACCACAGTGTCAATAAAATAACTTTACTGGGGGTCAATAACATTCTTCTCTGCTAACGTTCCCTCACGCAGATGCAGAACCACTCCGTGCCAGCCTCCAAACTGAGTGTTGCAAAACAGAATTGCTTTTCCATCAACCACATTACAACATCCAGAACCAGCCTCTGAGGCTTTGGGAATGAGAGGAATGCCATCCACCCCGGCTGTTACCAGACTTAGTTGTCCTTCTGCCGCTTCTCCCCCATCTCTCCCTTGCCCCAACTCTTTTTAAAGCCAGGATTCCAGTGACCCCATGATGTGGAGTTCAAAGCAGTGACCCACTGGACAGGCAGGTGGGAGCAATTACTAGTGTGGCTGTTTGTAGGGACCCGAGGGGACGGTATAAGCCCGGGGTTATTTTGACAGCTGGTGTTATTGGGGTCACGCTGAAGCGTTTGTGTTTTCAGCGCTAGAAATATTTACTTTAACACAGGCAATGTTTTGGGAAAGGCGGTCTTCCTTCACCCGAGTGATTCCAGCCCTCTCATCTTTTAAGCGTTCCTCTGCCCTCTCGTGGCGCAGAAGCACTCAAGGCTCTTGTACTGATGGCGGTGCCCCCACTGTGCAGATGCACATCCACAACCCCGGTTGCCAGGGCCGCACCTCCCAGGACAGCGGGAAACGGGAAGACGAAGCCCGCAGACCGTGGGGGCGGGGAAACGGGCATCAACTGACCGGACCCAAACCGGCTTCCGTTCGAGCCCGCCAGGGGCGGGCTGAGCCGTCTCGCGAGATAGACGTCCCCTCTCGCGAGACTCGGGCAGCGCGCGGTTTTTGGTCTCGCGAGGCGGGTGGCGCGTGGCGGCGGGCGGCCCGCGCGGGAGCTCGGCGTTGGCTGCGCGCGGGAAGGCGGTAGGCGCGTGGCGGCTGCGTGACCGCGGTGCCGCTCGGCGCCATGCCGGCCCAGAACGTGGCGAGCGGCGGCGGTGAGCGTCGGGCCGCGGGCGGGAGCGAGCGGAGGGCCGGGCCCGGGGGTAACCGCGCTGTGTGGTCGTTGCAGAGCCGCCGGGAGCCGAGATGGGGGAGCAGGAGGTGGTGATCACGCCGGCCATGCTGGCCGAGGAGGAGCAGCTGGAGGCGGCGGGGCTGGAGAAGGAGCGGCAGATGCTGGAGAAGGTGGGGGGCTGGGCGGCTGCGGGGCACGGGGCGGCTCGTGCTGCTGCCGGGAGCGGCACTGCTCTGAGTGCTCTGCTCGGCTCTTGCCTTCGGGAAACGCGTCCTAAGGAGCTTCGCGTCCCCACCTCGCGGGGCACAGCCGTTCCTGCGTTTCGTTTTCCCCTTGCTGTGTGTGTTGAAATGCTGATGTTAAGCATGTTGGAGGCGTGTTGGAGCAGAGATTGCTCGTGTTGTTAATCCCTGGCATACTGTATCCTGGGGGGGGCAGCTGATGTTCTTCAGCTTCTGGGTTTTTGGAGGTTTCTTTGTTACTTTTGTGGACCCCTCGCCAGGTGAGTTGCGCAGTGCAGCAAAGGAGTCCCTTGTTCCTTCTGTGGGCTGATGGTAAATTACTGCTATGTAAGCATGTGAGAATGCAGCGTGATGAAAAGCGAGCGTCACGCGTCTGGCCTAGTCAGCATAACGGGTATAAAACCCAGCTTTGTTGTTGGTTTGGATGGAGTCAAAGGACGAAGTGATGCCTATTCTGGAGAAATCGTAACAATTTGTTATTGTTTATCGTCTTTGGGTTTTCTGTTTTTCCCTTGAAGTTGGTCAAGGGAAACATCCGTCAAAGGAAGTAATTAGTGGAATAAACAATTCAAGCCCTGCAAAAAAAATGAGTGTTAGCAATGTTATCTCTTGGCATTGCCATCTAGGGTCGGTCCTCCTGGACGCAGGTACTTCCGTTTGAAGGAGAGCAGAAGCAAATAAAAGCTTTATGGAGAATCACAGGAAAGCCATATCACCTCCAAATGACTCGTGGAAATGGATCTTCCTCTCGTTAAAGAGCAGAGTGATGGCTACTTTGTGATTGGGAGTACCGTTCTTGGAAAGTTAAAGGCAACATTTCTACCAGAGCTTTCTTGTCTTGCAGTTTTCCCCATCAGTCAGCTAATATCTGTAAATAGACTACTTGTTAGTCCATTTAGTTCCAGAAAATTCCCTTGTTTTGGTGTCCTAGTGTGCCCTTCCCCCCCCTCCCCTCCCCCCTTCCTTTTGAAGGCTGTGGCATAGATAAGGATCTCCTGAGGCTCTGCTGCTTGCCTTTCCTTTAGTTTCTCTTGGAGATGCTAATTCAGACATTTTCATGTGTTTGACATCTCAATCTAACCAGCAGTTTTGGGTGAATGCTTTTTTACTTCTTGGAGGAGGTCTTGACCTCGGTTTTAAAGATGCCTTGCAGGCTTCTAATTGCAGTATGGAATAAATTCAACGGGTGCCACTTTCAAAAGAGAGTGGCAGTTCAAGCACGTGTATTTTAAAAGCAAAGCAAAATAAGTTACTGCTTTCATACTGCAAATTCACTCGGCCTCTCTAAATTAAGCATTAATGGTTTAGGCTTTAATGATTAGGCTGTTCAAGTAGCTTGCTGATAATGGAAGCGTGTACCTTTTGTGCATGTGGTTTGGGAAACAGTTTGTTGAATTTTGCAAAGTTATTTTTTTCTTCCAGGTTTTATGAGCTGTGAATAAACTTAAATTACCTTCTTACTCTAAATCTGTAATTTGGAAAGTAGACACCTTTGAGCCCTTGAATGCTTTGTCCTACTGCACTGGAAGCGGTTGTACTCAGAGCTCTGTTTACATGTGGGAGCAAATCCAACCTTCAATTACATTAATCTGTGAGCACTCTGGGGAGAGAGAGAGAGATGTGATTGATGCACCCACAAATTGTGGATGTATTATGACTGAAAGAGAATGCTTGTGTGTTTATGAGACAAATGTAATTAACCTGTAAGAGAATCCTTCATTATCTTAAAGGCATTACATATGAAGCATAGAAGTATAAATACATGATGTCTCTGTGTTGGCCAGGCTCGCAGTGCTTGGGACAGGGAGTCAAGTGAAATGCGCTATAAGAGGCTTCAACACCTGCTTGAGAAAAGCAACATTTATTCCAAGTTCTTGCTAACTAAAATGGAGCAGCAGCAACTGGAGGTAGGTGTATTCTTGTCTACAAATGGGATTCCTAAGATGAGCTGCCACCTGTTTGGTTTTCTTGCCATCTAGCATTTTGAACTAAGGTGAAAATAATGTATAAATCTACAGAAGGTACTGCCCAAGGATGAGTGGTGCTTTACATTATGTTCTGAGTTTGTCCTTAAAATATAGAGATAAATCAGACTGGAAAGTGGTGAGACACAACATAAAGGGTAGCACTGATGTCTTTAAAATTCTTCTGTTAGGAAGAGCAAATCAGTATTTCAAATAGGAAATAAAGTTTTAAGGAGGCTAGAAAACCTGGAAAGAGGATTAAAAAAAAACAAAACAACAAAGACTTGACCAACAGGAATTGTGTAGCCTATTTGTGTTGTTTACTGATGGCTGAGGATGAGGCCCGTTTTCAGTACACTAATGTGGGACAAATGTATAAATTGCAGTGATCTGAGACCAAGCTGTTACCAATCAAACTTCCATAAAATTATTTGATATTTTTGTTATTTTTGCTTTTTTTACTCTATGGGCTGCTAAGTTCACCCTGGCTTTGTGTCAACTTTATTAACTGTCCCTGTATGTACAAACTTGTGAGAGTTTGAGCTTTAGAGAAAGGAATCTCAGAAGAAGATGCAGGTTAATGTCTGCTCAGAAAAGTGGCACTGGCAAGCCACTGAAAGCTCCTTTCTAAAATAATTCTCTAGCTTCTCCTGTCAGCTTGAATTCATGGTTACTGCATTGATAGAGTGCCTTTTTCAATATTACATCTTACATTTCTTCTTCTTATGATTACCAAGGTTCTTTTTTTTTTTCCCCAGGGTCCTTTTGCTTTCAGCAAGTAAAAATAGTAGATGATGTTTAAAAAAAAAAAAAAAATCTTAGATTCATCAAGATATGAAAGCAATTCTTCCTTAAAGGCATTTTAGGGTACTTACATTGCTTTCTGTTCCACAATGAACACGAGTGGTAACATGTAAAAAGTTGAAGAGGAGCTGTGTACGTCGAATACTTAATGTAGTAAATGCCATCTCTTGAAGGAGTTTGTAATTGGGAATATCTTTCTTTGGAGTATTTCTAAATTACTGTATTTGAAAGTGTTTAGAGTAGTGACTGACAGACTGTTCAGAGCAGTTGCACTTTCTCACCTAAGTTTTATTTCATGATTTTTTTAAACAATGTCACTGTCAGAATAGAAGTTTGTAGTGAGACTGCACAGACAAGTCTATATGGTACAAGAAATCTGGATTACCAGTGGAATTTGCATCTGTTATTTCTATAATGGATAGTTCTCTTGTAGGTGTTACTTAAGTATCTCTGTCTTTTTAGGAACAGAAAAGGAAAGAGAAGTTAGAAAAAAAGAGGGAGATGATGTTAAAATCTGCCAAGGTAAGATTAGCTAGCTATTTTATGTAACTTTTCTGTATTTAAAGTCTGTCAAACTGCCATATCAATTTTGATCTTCTAGTCAAGGTAAAGAAGTTAGACTTGCCCAGTATTTAACTTGAAGATATGTCTATTTATAGAAATTTTTGAAGATAAAAGATTATTAAAGGATTTTGCTGGGGCCTGTCCTGCTCAATATCTTTATTGATGACCTGGATGAGGGCATTGCGTGTACCTTCAGTAAGTTTGCAGATGACACCAAAATGGCAGGAAGTGTCCATCTGCTTGGGGGATGGAAGGCCCTGCAGAGGGACCCAGACAGGCTGGATGTCTGGGCTAAGGCTCACAGGTCAACTACTTCTCCCCCACCACTAATGATGGGACAAGAGGGAATGATCTCAAGTTGTGCCAGGGGAGATTCAGGTTGGACATTGGGAAATAATTCTCCAAGAGCAGTAAGGCACTTGAATGGGCTGCCCAGGGGTGGAATTGCCATCCCTGGAAGTGTTCAAGAAATGTTTAGATGTTGTATTGAAGGACATAGTTTAGTGGAAAATATTGATGACATGTGGACAGTTGGAGTACGTGATCCTAGAGGATTTTACCAACCCTGGTGATTCCATGATTCTATTATACCATGTTTTTTAGCCATGGTAAAACTGTTCAAAACTGTGCTTAATAAAACCACATAGTATAGACTGTCTTACTAATGAGACTTTTTTGACTAATTTTTATTAAAGGCAATGGTATGGATTTGTCTTGAAAGCTGGTATTTTTTTAAGCAATGATTCAATGGTTACTTTTCTTAGTCAACTGAGAGCCTAAGAGCTGGCATACGAAAGCAAGGATGAAAAAGACTGGTGCTTAACTGCTTTTGCTATTTTATTTATAGTAAGCATACTTCAAAAAGCTTTCAAAAATAATGGTTTGAGTCTGATGACATATTCTTCATTTGTGTTGAGATAGATTATGAAACTCTTCCTGTGTTTATTTTCTAGAATCAAAGTCCAGCTGATGGAAAAGAAGAGAAATCAGGTAACATATTAGACTTTGTCTTTTGTCAGTACCAATGTTTTTAGTTCCTTCAACGTTTACTGTGTTGTATAAACTCAAATCTTATGTTTTAGCTACAAAAAAGAAGAGAGGTAGAGATGACGGAACATACAACATCTCAGAAATTATGTCCAAAGAGGTAGGCCACATCTGTAAATGGACTTGTTTGAACTCTTGTAGCACAAATTTTAAGTAATGTCACAATCACTGTATGACATCAGTATTTTTGTTGCAATGCATCCTTATACATTGTCAACAGACTGACAAACAGCTAACAGTAGTCTGTAAGATATTTATTTTAGCAAGGATCTACTTAACAAGCAAACCTATAGAATCAAAATACTTTTTCTTAACACTTTTGGAATGGCGAGATGAGAAGGGAATACATCTTCCTGTTGAATTTCCAGTTACCTCTTGTAATTGAAATGTTTGCTGATGCATGGCCTCGTTTAGAGTCAATTATGATGTATGAAAATTTGTTTAAAGCATGTCCAGATTCTCGAATTAAAAGATCTTATGGAATACAAATTGTTGTAGCCTTTCACATTCAAAAGCATGTAAGTATAAGGTTTTTTCTTTTCCAGGAAATCCTATCAGTGGCAAAAAAAAGTAAAGTGGAAAATCAGGTACGTTGGCAGATGTTGCTACAGTTTAAACATTTAGAGCCCAAAAGGAGAGGGGGGGGGGGCTTTCTAAACTTTTCCTGTAAATAAATCTGCTAGCTGTTGAAGTCCTGAGCTATCACTGTTCCAAAGCAGTAAAGAATACTGCCTATAAGGTATTGAAATTTTGCATGAATACATCTGTTTTTATGGTGGCATTAATCCTTAAAATAAGTTCTACTGTTTAGTTGACAGTTACTCAAAATAAATCTTTGTGTCAGGGGCTGTCTTGCTTCAGTACACTATAACAGACAGGTGTAGATTTAGCAAAGTTTTAGCACCTGGTAGAAATATGTCTTAGCTGGGTTTTATTAACGCATTCCACTTGTCACATGTTCCTTGAACATTCCTCTATAGGATGAAAGCTCTGCTGACAACCTGTGTCCAGAAGACCTGCAGAAAAATGGGGACTCAAATAGTGTCATTAAGGATAGATTGTGTCAAGCTGTACGACACAGTGCCAAGCAATTCCTTGATCCAGTGCGGAAATTTAATGGACAACCAGTGCCTTTTCAGCAACCAAAGATTTTTACTGGAGGTGTAATGAGGTGGTACCAAGTGGAAGGCATGGAGTGGCTAAGGGTATGGAGCAACTGTCTACAAAAGTGCATCTGTTGCTGACTGGGGACTGAAACAGAGGGAGAGAGAAACAAGAAGTCTGATTATAGTCGATACAGGGAAGATGAAGGAGGAGAGTTCCTTGTTTTTTTTTTTTCCATGATACGAGAATCTGGTGTTATTAAGTTGTTAATTCTATTGATATGAATTTAAAGGGTGGGGAGGATATGTGAGTTTGTAAAGATTTCATTAGGCTTTATTTTTTTTGTGTTTTTCATCTATGTTCTTGTTCAACTCAACTGCTTTTTCAGCCTCTCCTTTGAAGTACTTTATGAAAGTCTATTCATACTTAACTTGAGGGGCAATCTTGGTGGTTTTCTTCTCTCAAGGGCACGAGTAGCCCATAGGTCTTTAGACTCAACTGCCTTGCAGGCCTGACACAGGTGACAGTTTTTAATTTTCTCTGCATTTTGAACACTTTACTAGTAGTATTAATGTAGTATTTTAAAAATGTTTTGTCTTTAAGATTTGAAATTAAAAGCGGGAGAAACATGCGATAAAAAAAAATGCCCGTGTATTTATTTTCTCCCAGTTTTTCCTTGCAAGCCAAATGAAGATAACTTTGCTTTTTCATTATCAGATCAAGATAGAACTAACTTTCTGCCGCCCATTTCATTTTTCTCCTGGGTTTTCTTTAATTCTTCCAAGAAGCACATGTGTATCCTGTTCTAATAGGCTTTGACTCATCTCACGAGTGATTGCCACTAGACTAACTTGTCTGGAGGAATAAACAGCTTCCATTGTTGGACCCTTACTTATAACTTTCTTCATGAATAATAGAACAGTTAAAAGGCACTTCTGTGTCTTCCTTTCTATTCTGTTGTGAGAGGTTGCTCTTTCAGGTTTCAAAATAGACAGCGTTTGCAGAAAACTGCAAAAGTTGCATTGGTCAGGTACTCTACTATGCTGAAAGTGTTCCTGTAGAAGCTGCTTTAAAAGATAAAACTGTCTTGTTGTGGGGTTGTTGTTTTTTTTCTTCTAGTCAGGTATTTAATAGACTCCAAGCACATAAATGCCAGACTTCAATATATAGGTTTACAGGATGCTTTTCTTATCATGGAGAAATTTTACTCATCTGATGTGCTTAGTAGAGAATTTCCACTAAGAATTTCCAAATTTCTACAAATGTCTGTTGTTCCTAAGACTTCATGGTTATTCTGTGCTTATATGTCTTTCTTTGTGTGTGCAGATGCTTTGGGAAAATGGTATCAATGGCATTTTAGCTGATGAGATGGGGTTGGGAAAGACAATCCAGTGTATTGCAACGATAGCACTCATGGTGGAGAGAGGAGTCCCTGGTCCCTTCTTAGTATGTGGCCCTTTGTCCACGCTTCCAAATTGGATGTCTGAATTCAAGAGATTTACTCCAGAGGTAAGAGAAATGAAGATTTTTCTTCCATTTTTAATTTTTTTTTTAATTTGGATTTAAAAGAGCAAATTTCTGAATCCTTACTGTAATTCTTAGCCATGAAACTTCATATAGAACATCAGTTGAACTGTGGTTGTTCACATGGTTACTACTATGTAACTATGTACTGTGCTGTGGCTTGCTATGTATTTACAGCCACCTTATAAGCAAGTTAATTATCATTGCTATCTCCGTTTGGGCTTACAGCTTTGAATGAGCTTAATTCACCTGATTTCTAAGTCTTTACTTCTTCAGATTCCGCTAATGCTGTATCATGGAGCTCAGCAGGAGCGTCGTAAACTGGTTCGTAAAATTCACGGGCGACAAGGATCACTGAAAATCCATCCTGTGGTCATTACTTCTTTTGAAATTGCAATGCGGGACAGAAATGCCTTGCAGGTACTTATTTTCTCACAAAAATCTGATAACAAGTGGAATGTCTCATCAATAATGGCAGTGCTTTTGAATATACATTTAACAGAACAAAAAAACTTCCTGCATGCTGCCTGTTCAGTGTCATACTGTAGCAGCTATGTTGGCATTCAGTTCTGCCATCGTCTCTTTCATTGGTGACTACTGATTTTTTTTTTTTATGCTTTAAGAAGTACTTCAAATAGAATGCTATCCAAAACATGAAGTAAGCAGATAATTACAGCATTTACAGCTGCAGTTTATATATTGCAGCTTCCTTTTATTACCTCTGTGTAGATGATGGAGAGTAGAGACTTGGATATAGAAATATTATGATTTTAATATTGGAATGGTTAGTTTGGTGATGAGAGCTTGTAGTAATTTTGCTGTAATCACCAAAGCTCCCTATATGTGTTCATTGTGAAGTATTAATTGTTCAAGTCTGGCAAAATTGAAATACCACCAAATGCTGCTCATTGGCACGTTTTGATGGAGTAAGCTAAGATTTACTGAAATCTCCTTTCTACTTTTGTAGAGCTGCTTCTGGAAATATTTGATAGTAGATGAAGGTCACAGGATTAAAAATATGAACTGTCGTCTTATCAGAGAACTGAAACGGTTTAATGCAGACAACAAACTGCTGTTGACTGGTACCCCCTTGCAAAACAACTTGGCAGAGCTTTGGTCATTGCTTAACTTCTTGTTGCCAGATGTTTTTGATGATTTGAAAAGGTAGGTTGCAATTTGGTAGTAAAAACTTCTTTCTTTTGTTCTGTTTGGGCACTAATCTGACTCTTTAATTATTAACCTTGTATCAGCATTTAATGAGCTCTTTGATGCTATGGTTGTTGTTTGATATAATTATCTGATGGTAGAGGCTTTGAAATGTGTATTACCTTCACAGTTGTAGTTTTGGAAAGGAAAAGGTAATTGTCGGTTCCTGTTGATAGTAGAAACTCAATTCTGAACTAAAACATGAGCTTTGGGGGAGACAGGGAGATGGCTTCTAATCATAAGGTTTTGGTACTGCTTGAGATTGTGTGAGCTGTTGGAGACAGCTGTGTGAGACAGACAGACACGGGAGACTGATGCTTTTCTGGAGCAGCTTGGGGAGGTCAGGAACATTGCCGAAACAGTCTTGAATTTAACTGAACTTGGAAAATACCATAGACTATATTGAGAATAACAGCATAGTGAATATTCTAGCTTAGACAACTATTTTTATTTATCAGGTTTAAAAACTTAAGCATCCAAACTGACAGGTATGTATTAGAAACATACCTGTTTATCCTCTGTGTGATGGGTACGAGTGCCTTGTTTTTCTTAAATCAAAGTTTGAAAAACTTCAAAGTACACAATGAAGAAGAGTAATAGCTATGAAGAAAACTATTCCCTTTTTTTTTTTTTTGCTTTGTTTTTGTAGCTTTGAATCGTGGTTTGATATCACCAGTATTACAGAAACTGCTGAAGATATAATTGCTAAAGAAAAGGAGCAAAACATCTTGCATATGCTGCATCAGGTTTTCACTTTTATTCTTTATATTGTTTTTTCATGATTTATTTCAGATGTTGGCCAAAATCTTGTTAGTGGAGACAACTTATGGGTGTAAGATTCTTATTGTGGCACCTCAGGACTTTCCTAGACTTTTTTTTCTATGTTTACAGCATTTATAACTGCTGAAAGAAATAACATTCTATTGATAATACTTAGTTTTTGGAACCGAACTGAATTTAGTTAAACTTAATTGCGGTTGCTTGCTTTGGTTTGCCTGAAGATTTGATTGGTATATTGATCTTGTGAAAAGGTAACCTTGAGACAATTTATGCAACTCCAGGGTGCTGAACAGAAAACCTTTGGACAAATTAGTTTTATGATTTGCCTGTCTTCAAAGGCAAAACTAACATTCAAACTCTTTTTAAGAGGAAGAAAAGTAAATGCTTTACAAAACTGTTATTTTCCCCTTGTACGATGATGGTAGGAGGATATAATTGTTGATGACAACTTTATTTATTGCAATTTAAGGTTTATGGCTAGCCTGGAATAATTTTGCTTAACAAATAAAGACAATTAGCTATTTCATAGTAAGATTACTATCATTAATTGAAAATTATTTGAAAGGCCTGTAATGTAGTTACTACTGTTGTTTTATTAAAGACTTCACAATTTTAAAGAAGTCTATGGATGTAGATTTTTTTTTTTCGAATGCATGTATGACCAGCATGTTTGTAGAAGTCTTGGAGTATCTGTCACTATTTAATAATGAAATATAAAACTCTATAGATTAAGTCCCTTAGTTTAAATTGTGAAAATAACATTTTATTGGTAGATGTTTGTTGTTGTTGTTTTGTTTTTTTTAACCAGCCCTGTTAAGAGCTCTAATAACAGCACAACCTTTCAACATTTCAGATTCTGACACCTTTTCTACTGAGAAGACTGAAATCTGATGTTGCTCTTGAGGTTCCTCCTAAACGAGAAGTTGTGGTGTATGCACCCCTAGCAAAGAAGCAAGAAACGTTCTATACTGCCATTGTGAATCGCACCATTCGGAATCTGCTTGGAAATAATGAGGTATCTGTTGATTTGGGAATGTGCTTACCTGTTTATAGTTGGTAAGCAAAACCACATTGACATTGCTTTATTGCTAGTGTAACTAAAAACCTTTTTTTTTGCCTTTTTTGAGTCTGATTCTTTTGTTACTGTTAATGTGAACAGCCTCAGAACTATTAATATGAGTGCCAGTATGTTCTTGGTTACTTGTAGCTTAGCAGAAAAAAAAATTTCCTTCAACAGAGTTTCTGCTGTCAAGTCAGTGAAGTATAAATGCAGCTTTTAAAAACTCAAGCACAAGCTCTCGAAACCTGCAATTTAAATTTGGGCTTCTCTTTCTACTTAATAAAATTTTACAGCCCTGAATCTTAAGTGCGTTTTGATGGGGCAGATTGCTGAGACCTCTTTTCAGGATTGAGAATTCTTGGATGAGCATAGTTTAAAATTCAGAGGCCTGTCTACTGTTGATGATGATGATATTATTCCCTACAGGAAGAAGTAGTTGAATTGAGTCCAACAGGCCGACCAAAGCGCCGTAGTCGAAAACTGGTTGATTATTGTGAAGAACACAATGGCTCACCTGATGACTTGGAAAAGTTGATCAACAGAACGCAAGAGGAAGTAGTAAAAGAGAGGTGCCTGCCATAAAAGAATATATTTCTGTTACTGATACTGAGTATCTCCCTCTTAATTTGCCTCCAGAGCTTTGCTTATACATTTTTTTTCTAGGTTTTGCAAGCTTTGCAATATTACAGTGAACCTTTTGACTACAAAGCTCATTTATGTTTCTAGCTTTATTGGCTCAAAGACAGGACATGGAATAGTCTTTGTGTGCCAATTACAATTAACTCCTGTGTTTTTGCAGAGTTTCTCAGGAATGCTTGGAGCAAAGTTCAGGCTTAGACTGGAGTAAAAGGGGGAAGTGGTTTCCTTGTTTGATTTTTCAAAAATAAATAAGCTGAGATCTGAAACTCAAGTGGCTAGCATGGTTCTTACTGTTATGGTGAGGTATATTGTCATGAAAACATGAAAAATGGTGATTATGATGAGAATCAAGGGCTGGGATTTGAGATAGACCTTGTCAAACTCAAGCTATTGACAGCTAACAAGTCCTTTGAGTGCAAGAAAAGCTAGGGCTGAGCTTAAATTTGGGCATTGAATCGTATTTGTTTTGCTAGATCTTAGTCCAATTTACGCTGAAGTAACTGATACTTAAATGTATGCTTTTGTTAGTTTTGTCACGCTTGGATCCCTTATGTTGGATATAGCTTATAGGTGTGGAAGAGCTAAATAGCTGCATTTGTGGTAGAATCCTGCAATGTGTACATGGGGGTGGGATGGGATAGGCTGAGAGATGATATCTGGAATAGTTTCTTTTGTTACAAGGGAAATCTAAACACATCTTCCCAAAAGGGGGCTTGTGTCTGTTTCCTTTAATGCTGGATGACTTACACAAGCTGTTGTTTTCCCATTTCTGATTCCTGCTTATCACCCTTTAATATTTTAAACCAGTAATGACAAAACTCATGCCTTCAGTGCTGAGTGTTGTACTAAAAGAAGCTTTGTCTGATAATACTTAATTTATTAACTGAGAGATCTAACTCAGAGATTTAGAGGAAGTTTGAAGCAACATGTGACCCTATTGCTTGATATTCTTTTTTTTTTTTGTAACATCTAATAACACACAGTGACATTTTCTGTACTAATAAAATGACATCTTATCAAGGCCAGTGGTAGAAGTGAGCATGCCCATGGATTCAGAAGTGAACCTTAAACTACAGAATATTATGATGTTACTGAGGAAATGCTGTAATCACCCCTACCTTATAGAATACCCATTGGACCCTGCTACACAACAATTCAAGGTACATATTTTCCTTCTTAATCTTTTTAAAATATTGTGGACATCTAGAAGTGATGGATTCTGTACAGCCAGCAGTGCAGAACAACCGTTTCAATGTATTTACGTATGCCTCAGCAGTGTGAGTGAATAATCATTTGCTGCTTCATGCAGCTGTAACTGCAAAGTAACTGTCCCCTTTTAGTCTCCTGTAGTACTTATTCTACATTATGAAGGTGTTTGTCTTCTGGAAGCCAGGTTAATGAACTGAAATAATACTGCCTTCTGTTTAGTTGAGCTGTTTTAGGATCTCCTTGAAAAGGCTTATTTTCAGAACTAAAAATGCTTGTGCTGATGAACTATTCATGATGTAAACTGTATACCTTACAAAAAGGTGTGGTGATAGTTTATAAGAGTGAGGTGTTCTAGGACTAACAATTTCAGCTGCATTGTCTGCTTAGAATACGGCATCCTGTCTGCCTCTCAAAAGGGAAAAAAATTAAATAGAGGCCATTTGGTAGTTAATCTAGACAAAGCAATTGATAATACAGGAAAGTATTAAGTAATTTGAGTTGAAAGAATCTTTGATCAACCTGAAGTTGCTTGCATGTTCTCAGAGTAGGTTTGTGCCCATGTTTGGTCACGTTTGCTGCTTAGTGTGTGATAACAGATTTGGTTGCACCATGTGGAAAAAAAACTGTCGAAGTCTATCAATGCAAAAGCAATGTGTAAAAGTAGATAACCTAATGCTATCCTGTAGGAATTAACTAAAATAAAAAATGCAGGTGGCTTTATGCTTACTTGCAGGACCTACCACCTGCAACTTGTTCAGCTAGTGCTTCCTTGTCTCCAGCAGGTGGAAGCCTTGTGCATTGATTACCAATGATAGAAGCTGGGAAAGAAACAGCAGTGCTTTTCCATGTGAAAAGTATAGAAATGATGAAGGTTTCTCCTTCTGGGAGTGGGATGGAAGCAAATTGATTTTTCCCAAAATTATTTGGGCATATGAAATGCTGGGGTTTGATTTAATTTGATCGTGATTTAAATTATTCAACTTTGCAAAAATTAGTGTTGCTTCCAGTTTTACAATTTTTACTTAAAAAGGTGTGCAAGCTTTTTCAGTTAAAAACTTCCAATCAGCTTTTGTTGGTGTTTCTGATGAAAATCTTGATCTTCTTTCTTTTAATATGCAACCCCCTCTTCTGCGTTTTTTAAGGTTGATGAAGATCTAGTGAAAAATTCAGGCAAGTTTCTTCTCTTGGACCGAATGCTTCCAGAATTGAAAAAGAGAGGACATAAGGTAAAACAGATTACTTTTTTTTTTATGAGTTTGTCTCCTCGTGACCAAGAATGTTACTAAGGAATCTTCCTCATTACGCAGGTCTTGATGTTCTCACAAATGACTATGATGCTTGACATTTTGATGGATTACTGTTATTTGAGAGGCTTTAAGTTTAGCCGATTGGATGGGTCTATGTCCTACTCAGATAGAGAAGAAAATGTAAGTACCTGTACATGCCCTTTAATTTGATACTGAATTCTGCCTGTTACTGTGTCATTGGGATAAAACTTGAACCAGAATTTAGTCTTTAATGGGCAAAAGATATCTAACATTCTTGCTGCTGCTTAAGCAAGTAGAATCTTATTCCTCTCTAGTGAAAACTGCCAGTAGGTTATGTATAGCTCAACTAAGAATGAATGATCTCTGGGAATAAGGAGGTGAGTTAGCTTGTTACTGCATTTAGTAACATGTATCCAGCAAAGGATGCCTTTAAAGGAAGAAAGCAATGCTCTCTTTCAAGGCACTTGGAAATCAGTTTCTGCATTATTCAAAGTGATTGGAAAGCTAAGAGGAATCTCTGTGTAGAAGGAAACTTGACTGTAGGTTGGTTCTTCAGTTGAACAGGCAAACATCTTGGCTTGATTAGTTTCCCAAAGCATTTAAGCTGCATGAACAGCAATAACTGAAGATGACATAGTGCTGGAACAGGCTGCCCAGGGATCTGTGCATTCTCATTCTCTGGAGATACTCAAGATCCACTTAGATATTTTCCTGCCAACCTATGCTAGGGAACCTGTTTTTAGCGGGGGGGAGAGGGGGCTCAAATAGATGATAAAGGTCTCTTCCAATTGCTATGATTTTGTGGATATGACTCAAGAAAACCATGGGAGCAAAGGATAAATGCATCAAGCTTTCAAGGGCATCCAGTTTGTTTCTTTTCCTCTCCATTCCTGGTCTGAGTGCCCACCACAGTGTGTTGTGGGTGCAAAATGAACACATTTAACTGCTCTTGTAAGACCTGAAGGAGCTGTGCTGACACTAAGGGTAATCTTTACTTGAAAGCAGTCTAGATGCCAAGTAGGAGGCGTGAAAGTTATTCTTAGTTTTAAAAGGAGGAGGTAAACGTAGAAGCTGGAAGTAACAGTCAAGGTGGCATCAGAATTTTAGATTGCTGCTTTTGTCAGGAAGTGGAAATATTTTTAGGCTCTACCAGCTTTTGACTATGCTTGCCTTGGGGAATAAAGTATCCCTGAATGGTAGATTATGTGGAGATAAAATTGGGATTGGGATAATGATTGGGACTATGTCTCTATAGTTATATATGTTTCTGTGTTGGATAGCTCACTTTAATAGAATCAGCAGGTAAGAAAGTAGTTGCTTTACTTTTTAGTCTCATCCTGCCCTAGATGCAGTTTTTAGAAAAGCTTTATTTTGGACTCTGACATTATATGTTACACTCTACGTTCATCTTTTTAAATTCCAAACATAGGTTGATCTTAAAGTAAAATATTGGCTATGTTGTGTTTGATCCACCTGCTGTTTTCAATAGCTGAATTCTCTTCCAGATGCATCAATTTAATAATGACCCTGAAGTATTCCTGTTCTTAGTGAGTACAAGAGCTGGAGGCCTGGGCATTAACTTAACTGCAGCAGATACAGTAATCATATACGATAGTGACTGGGTACGTTGATGGACTGTTTACCTCGCTGTGTGTCATAAAATGCTTTCTTTACTGCAGCTTTTGTTAAACGTTTAGTATGCTGTTATGGTGTAGACCACTTCTGTTACTTTAACGAAGTGTTTTTATATGATGACAACATAATCTGTATATGCAAATATGTTATATATTAAATATACAGTCTAATTTGAAAATGTCTTAGCTTACTGAGCATGATGTTAGAGTTGGTTTTCAAAACCAGTATGTTTGTCCCTGGGTTATACCAAAAGTAGGATTTTTTTTTTTGCTACTATTGTAGATGCACTTGTCTTTCAATTTATTGTTTGCTTGAACGTAGCAACAACCTCAACTAAACTTTGGATACAGAATGCCCATCTGTTGGAAAGGGCATGATATAGATCAGAGGCAGTCAAGCTAATTGGGCTACTCTGGCTGTGCAGTTACAACAGCAGGACTTGACAAGTTTAAGAACAAGTAGATGTAGAGTTATATTATATCATGACTGCTCTGTTTGCTTCTAATATGACTCTCAAAGCTCACTGATTGGAAATGCTGCCTGGGGAAGCATTAAAAAAAAAAAAATTAATGCATCTAATTTTATTTCCTTGTCTACTCAGAATCCTCAGTCAGACTTGCAGGCCCAAGACAGGTGTCACAGAATTGGCCAGACAAAACCAGTGGTCGTTTATCGCCTCGTGACAGCAAATACAATTGACCAGAAGATTGTGGAGAGAGCTGCTGCCAAAAGGAAGTTAGAGAAGCTGATTATCCATAAAAGTTAGTATCTTTCTCTTCTGCCTTCATGTGACCATATGTTTCTTAAACCTCAACAGATCTCTGCTATGCTTTGAGACTCAACATATATTTTTTTGTGTGAATAGTTTTATCCTTCCTGTAAGTGGCCATATAGTATCACTCTCCAGAATGTTCTTAGATGCATTGTAGATAACAAGTGAAGGGAAAGCACTTTTGCTTCTGCTGTTTCTGAGGTTACTGTCTTAAACTGATAGGTAAGGAAAAAATAGGGGAGATGGGACAGTGAGCCTACTTGGAATAACTGGAAGCAAAAGCAGATAAGGGAGTACAAGTATGGGGCTTATTTGGAGCTTGTTGGCAAGATGGTAGTTTGTTCAACCCAAATGTTTTAGACTTTCAAGATAGAAAATGTTTAAGCTGGTGATAAATGACAAGTATGTGTTGACTGTTGTATTAAATCAAATTAAGTGATCCAGATTATAAACGGAAAAGTGAGGAGCTCATCAGTAGGTTTTCCAGCTATGCTGGCAAACTTGCTTGAATAGCAAGCCTTCAGTTAAATCTGGTGAAATGAGCAGAGTCTATAGAAATGTGAAAATTCCTGCTAAACTTTATAGAAATTGCAAATCTTAAAGCTGTGAAATGATGGTAGCTGCTGTCTACATCTGTCATCCTTAATTTAAGAATAATCTGTTATAATGACAACAGAATAAGTCATCTTTTTGGAGAAATTAGCCAGTGTTCCAGAACGGAACAGCAGTCCTTGATTTCTTTTTTTAAATTTTTTATTTATTGTGTGTAGAACAGTGGTGATTCTTGTGATGTCTTCATCTAGCTGTTTGTGCTAAAATGTCTGTAGAAAATGATTGAGATGAATCTTCTCTTTTGGAGTAAATTTCTATTTTTTAGGTGCCATAGGAATCTTTCAGTAGCTTTTTCTGTGTACCATATTTGGATGCTAGCTCAGTGTAGCATTTTCCAAATGCTAAGCTCGTTCAAAAAAAAAAAAATAATTCTTGCAACTTCTGACAATAATTGGCCATATTAAACTGTTGAATTTAAGAACTTCTCATAGTATACTATGACCAAAAAAAGAACAAAATGAACTCACTTTTGAGAGGATGTAAAGGGCCTGAAAAACCACATCTGTAACTGTTTACTGCACAGCACACTGCTTGTCATGCCTAAGCTGTGGCTTGCCTTTGGGTTTGGATGAGATTGGCTAATCTTCATTTGATAGTTCCATAGTCCTAGCTTTAGTCCTTTTGTTGCTGCTGGTTTGGGATTATTGCCAGAGCTGCCATCTGACATTTTCCAGAGGAGCTCATGATAAGTTTAGGTAAGAAAAAATGTTTTGTAATTATTTGTTATCTAGCCTGAAGATGAGTCCGAAGTGGCAAGGCCAGCCCACAAAACACATTTAGATGACTGCCATATATTGAACTAGCAGTGGGAACTAGGACTAGGCAATGTACAGGAAAGAAGCTGACTGGCAAGGGTCATGTCTTCAGTTTTGCAGTAAGCTGAATATTTATCTTGCTGATTGTAAGTGAAGCCTATCTAAATCTTGCAGCTTAAGTTGGGGTATCCCTGGCAGAAGCCTTTGGATGTGTTCTGTAGTTATAAAGGTAATTTATCAAAGTAGCAGAAAAGTTGATGAGTGGATGAGGAAGGGATATCATAAAGCAGACATGCTGAAGTCAGGCCTTTAGGTAGTGTCTATTGTAGGGTGTGTACAGTACAAATGCAGAACCTTAAGAATTGTAGTATCTTGCAAAGCCATGCTTTTGGTTGAGCTCAGTACCACATTGCACATTCTTTTCTTTCTGCTTTCTTTTGTTGGAAATTGTACGAGAAACAGCACAACTTTAAGTTAAATTAGTTGATGTCAGACTAATATGATGTGCATAAACTGTTATCAAACACGTGATGTAAGTCTGTCTTGTTTTTCTGTTACTATTACAGCCCAAGATCTCTACAGTGCTAATTCAAAGCCATGTAGTTTGTGAAATTCTGAAAACTCCAAATGATTAAAGGGGAGAGAGTGTATTGCTAACAGTGCATGGCCTGACCTGGATCTTTTGAATCACGGAAGGAGATGTTAATGGGGAAGAGAATCCTATAGCCCAGACCTCACTGGCGCTTGCATCTGATTTGCACTTCTCAGCGAAACAGACAGGAGAATGGAGAAAGAGAGGGAGAGATGGGGAAATGTATAGGGAGGAGTTATGAAACTGAGATACAGGAAAGAATATCAGTGTAGGTGATAAAAGGGTATGATGAGAACTTGCTAATTAAACAGGTACATGTATTAAGAAAAACCAAGGAGGCTTAGCACAGAACAGTAGGGCTGTATGTTTTCTTGCGGTGTACAGACTGAATTTGGCTTCATCCATGCTTAGACTTAGGTAACAACTTGTATATTTTCAGGATATTTTTACTGACATCCCATCATTTGGTGTAAGCTTAATCTCTTCAAGAATTCAGCCCATATCTGGTGTGTCATTTAGTTGTCTGTCTATCCGTATAACTGAGGGATTTTCTACAATGAAACCACGTATCTTTCACATATTTCCTGTCTTGTAGTGGTTAATACTGCTTACTTTGTTTCAACCAGCTTACATTACAAAGGGAACAAACTTCAGCATCCACCACCTAACTTTATTTGCAAACTTTTTACTGTAAGTAGAACTAATGGCTTTTCTGCTCTGTGTGTGCGTGTGTGCATGTTGAATTGGTGTTTCAATCAGTCCTTCTGCATAGTGTAGGTAGAAAGTGGAAGGCCTGCATGTAAACTTCACACGCGCCATTAATTTTCTTGATTGGTTAGCCTATTAGCTTAAGGTGTGTTTTACCTGAGGGCTGAAACAATTGAACATACAGTTAACTTTGCAAGAGATTTATTCCATCTATGCATCCAGCATTGGTATAACAATTCAAAGAGTGTATTGTTTCTCCAGTTAAAGTCTCTGCTTAAAATTTCTCCTTTCTACAGATCAGTTTAAAGGTGGCAAATCTGGTTTGGCACAATCAAAGAGTTGCCTGGACCCTCAGGAATTAATAGAATTGCTGAAATCCAGAGACTATGAGAGGTATGCAGATTTTAATTTTTTTTAACCATATTTTTATAAGTTACAGCTTGCGAGCAGCTGTCAATAGCTCTCTTGTCTTATGAAGTGTTATGTTGATCTTAAGAGTGAAAAGAATGTCCTAGGGATTCTGCTATGTTGAGCAATGAGTTCTGTGCTACATTTACATGCTTTTTTTTTTATTTCTTCCTCAACAGGGAGGTTAAGGGATCTAAAGAAAAAGTAATAAGTGATAAAGATCTTGAGTTACTCTTGGATAGAAGCGATCTTATTGGTAAGTCAAAATTCTCATCTGTGTTGGACAGTGAATTCCTGGTTTTGTTTTTTCTAGACAGAAAATTCATTTAAAAAACTGTTGTAGCTTCACTTCCCTATGTCTGTGTTGACATGCTTTTTAGCCCTTTGCTGACGTTGCCAATAGGATCTGCTGAAGACGATTTAAGCAGAAGTATTCCAGAGAACTTCATTATGTGTAGTATTCCCTGAGCATAGTGTGAAGAAAAACCAGATGCTCTGCAAAGCAACGTTTCCTGCAAATTGCTGAAATTGGCCAAAACATAAATCATCCTCAGAAAAGAATTTCAGCAAATCAGTTGGAAAATCATAATTCAAAATATAGTCTCACAGTACTTTTTAAAATTACATTGCACTTCCAGTGGATACCTGTGATTGCAAACATTAGGAAAGCCTAGACCATTGCATTTTAGAAAAGAATTTAGTGAAGCTCTTGTGAGAAGCTGTGTAGTTTCTTGCATTCTGTTTTGTTCTATGGGAGATATGACTTTTGAGAGATTTTAAAACTGCTCATTTCCCACTGTTTTTAGACATACAATGGAGTTTTTTCTTAAAGCACACAAACAAAATATTTTCAAGCACAAACTTTAGTTGCTGACTGTTTATGAAGTAGCAGAATTATGTCCTTAATGGTAACTTGTTTTCCAAATCCAGATGAAAGAACAGTACATTGAACTTTTTACTCTGCATTACTGTACTTGTAAAGAAAGGTTGCAAACAATTCACCTATCACTGTTGTGGGTTTTTTTATTCTAGATCAAATGAAAAATTCTGAAACAATTAAAAAGGAAAAAATGGGTGTCTTCAAGGTCCTAGAAGAATCACCAGGTTCCAATGCAGAATGTGTCTTTTAAACGTGCAGGTGGCCTGTAATCTCAAAGGACAAATGTGTGACATCTGTAAGAGACCGATTTCAGTCATTACACATGCTGATCCTTTACTCTAACTCTTTATGGCCGTTTTTCAAACCCCTCAGTTCTTTCAGTGAATTTTAATGTGTTCTAAGGTGTAACATTTGATAGGTTCATGTTTGTAGCTTTGTTAGCCTATGATAAAGAATTGAGAAGATGAGCATTTCACGTTTTCAGTTAGCTTCTGTGTTCAGTGGTAAAAACTGGCCAAGTTGTGTAAAGTCTTCCTGTGGAAGTCCTAAAACACTTTTTTTTATATGGTGTTGAATATGATTTTATTGGGAAGGGAAAGAACATGTTGCAAAGAACTGTGTAGCTTCTGGTTCTTGTTGGTTTTTGTAATTTCTGCAAATTATTTTGATAAATAAATGTTTGGTTTGTCTTAAGGGTTTCTTGGCTGACGTTTATAAATAAGCACAGCTTGCATGATGTCCGTTATTCTTTATGTACTCATGTAACCCAATTTCACACATCTAAAAGAAATCCTAAGCTATAACCTTTTCTGGTGTACAGGTCAGTTCTCTAGTGGTCAGAGTGCCCCTTCAGAAGCACATAGGGGGAGCTATGGGCACTGGAAAGGGAAAATGGACAATTCTGTCTAGAGAGTACTTTCTTGGAAGAGAGAGTTTGAAACTTCACTGGGCGCAGATAAATAGATATATTATGCAAAATCCAAATCACCTGGAAACTTGGTAGTAGATAACACAGCAGGTGAAGTATTTAATTTAGTCACTTTGTGAACATTTGTAGAAGGCGCCTTCTATATAAAAACAGGTTCAGTGTCAAAGGAGTGTTACTTTCTTGCAGGTATGAAATTCTTGCTGTCCTTAGAGCAGTCTGTTACCCTGAATTGGAGATGGATCTGCAACTAATATGAAATGACTCTGTACTCTTATGGAAGCGTGGATAAACAAAACTCCGTTAATGAGTAGACTGATTTTGACCTTTGCCTATTGAAAGCCTTGTCTTGCTTCTAATTCTTCCTAAAAATGCCTAAACTAGCATTAATGCTGAGGGTAGCATTAGTGGATAAGAGTCGCTGTTGAGTAATGTGTTACTGAGAGAGAATTGTTTTGTAGAGCTGTGGCTGGTTTTTTTTTTTTTTTTAGCCCACTTTCAGAAGGTGAAAGCAGTGCAAGTTTTGCACTTACTGTTATAGTCAAACCTAATGCTCGCTGGTCAAAGCAAACAGTATTTTCTTATCATGACCTTGGATTTCTTGAGCCTTCAGTGAAGGATAGTTTTCTTACTTGTTATCCTCCTGAACTATGAAAGGGCAATCCTACCTGCGCTTCGGAGAAGGCCAGAGTTTGTGCACTTATTGTCTAAAAGCAAGGTCTGAGGCCTTTTCTGGTGTTTGGAAAGTGGCCTCCTTTTTCACAGGTGAAGATGCAGAAGTAAATTTGGGACTGAGAAGGTAAGGATTCTTAGGCAGGGGTGGGGGTGATTGATGCTAACAGTTATAAATTGTTTTGGATGAAGTAATGACCCCTTTGTTGACCATCAGGAGGAAAACATGCTTCAGCTTGATGGACAAATTCTTGAAGCACAGACTTGAGAAGCTGTGCTCCTTGTCACATGCGTCACATGCTGTGCCTAAACACACTCAGCTATTGTTCCTCCACTGAGAGTGGGGGGGAGATGCTGGAGTTGTTAAGACCAAATGCAGAGGCAGAGGGCTGGGACCTCAGTACACTTGTTACTACAGTCTCTCTATATGCAGAATTTAGGCCATGTCCATGAGGAGTAGCAGGGCCCAAGCACCACCTGCTGCAGCAGGAGAAGAGGCAGATGCTGCAGTGGCAGGGAGAGGCTATAACCAAAATCCCAAGTAAGTCTGTGTTAAAAGTGAGTCTGCTTTGTGCCATGCTGCACACCCATGTGAGCCAGGCCCTTTTTGGGAGGATGCTTGCTGAGACTGCCTAGCACTCTCTTCAACTGGGTGAGTGAAAGTTTCTTATTTCTGACTTAGTTCTTTATCCTTCCTGAGTAGGCAGTTCAACATTGTTGTGGACTTGACCCCACTTTTCCTCATTTCTTATTGTTTACAAGCCTCAGATGCCACTTGCTAAACTCGAGGGGAGTTTGCCAATTACAGTCAAAATTGCAGTTGCCAAATTTTTGCTTTGTAAAAAGCTAGTGCGTTCTTTTTTTTCAGTAAGCTGTAACAGAGCAAAGTCCTCCCTGAGCAATGAATGCAAATTGCCTTGGTGAGCCTGTTTCCATAGTAATAAATTGGATCAACACTGGTATCTGCATTGGAAGCCTCTGCTTCCAGTGCTGGGGCACAAACCTTTTGTAGTTCCCGGCTAGTGCATCAAGCCCCCCTCAATCAGTGTTTTCCCAGCAGTACTGCCAGCCCCCAGTGCGGGAGCTTGACTGGGTGATAAAGGGGCTGAGACAAAGTGAAACTTGTCTGTTTACAGCGAGGGGTTGGGGCTGGGGAAATACCAGGAATGACTCAGGCTACTCTGTCCTGGCCCATTGATGCAAGAGCTGAAGCTGGCTACATTTTGTTGGTAGGCATTATACAGTGGGGAAAGATTTTGTTATTGCACAGGGCCCCAGTTCTTGGTGTCACTGCAACACAGATGGAGCATTGGGGCCAGCATTTCTTCCCTGGTCTACAAACAAACAGAACTGGGCAGGGGCCAGGAGCCCACTGAGAAAATAGGGAGTGTGCAGTGCCTGGGGCAACCACAGTAGATGGCCCCAGTTGCTAATGGCGTTGGAACTTGGGTAGGACTGGGAATCGCTGCCAGCTACTGGTCAGAGGCTCCTTCCTGCACTAACAAAAGTTAATTGCACACTCAGATGGCCTTGAAAAGTAACATGCATTTCACAGAGAGATGAGAGGTTTGTGATTGCCTTTTATATAACCCCAAACCAACCGTCTGTATGACAAACCCTTCCTGCCCCACTGATAAGACCTGTTACCCAAAGCTTTCTGTGGGATCTGAGCCAAATTCCTGTGCTCTTACCTGCCAACAGCATCCAGGAGGGCAATGCTATGACTGACCAGGTTCCAGCCCAGCCTGCCTGTGCAGGATAGTGCTGCAGCGGAGAGATTATCACACTGGGAAAACATGCTGTTGAGGGAAGAGTAGTATTATCAGTGAGAAGGGGGTATCATACAAGCAGGCCAGGAAAAAAAAACTTACTCACTCACCTCAAAAAATAAAACTACTTGGAGCAGGAGCTGGTAGGTGTATGTATGTGTACATGTGAGGGGCCTGAGCAAGCTTGGCTTTCCCTAATGATGAGCTAGACAAGAATGCCAACTGAGCTATTCTAATAGCACTCTCTTTGTTCATAGAAGGAGCTGAGAAAAGGAGCTAAATATAGTTAGGTTTGTGCATTATTCCTGTTATTATTCTAGCCCACCAAAAAGCAGTACAGTGTGAGACAGACTTCAGCATTAGCTCAGCCTTACTTCCAGTGAGATTTGGGATGTTTTAAGGGATTGTTTATTCACTTCTGGAAAGGCAACATCAAGGATGCTTGCAGAGAAGCAACCACAGCTGTGGGGTCTGGCCTTTGCCCCATCCCAGTCTGCAGTTGCTACTTGTTGCATGAGACTGGTGTGTCTGCTATTTGGTGATTCCCTCCTGCTGCTCCCCCAGGGCATCACCACCACACACTGGGGATCCAGCAGCCCCAGTCAAGAAGAAAGTGGACACTTGCCTGTTGGAGTCACCCTATTTATTGGATGTGAACAGAAGACAAACAACTGGGATACAGGTGAGCTGTGATCTGACTTTGGCCGCTGATGTGCCTGTGCAATTAACACCTCGAAGGAGAAGGGAAAAAATAATCGTGTATTAAAAAAAAAAAGAAAAACAGTGAAAGAAAAGAGAAAAAGAATGTTGAATGATTAGTGACACCTTGTGTGTACAGACAGAACTTTGACGTGGCAAGGAAATTCAAAGCTGTGCCTAGCATTCCTTATTGCAAAGGAGATTCGGCAAGGGGCAGGGCAACACTTTCTTGGCAGAGCAGCAGAAGAGGAACGATCCACGTTGACCCCACTGCAGCACAGGCTATTTGGGGAAGACAGTGACCACCTCATAGCCCTCTGGGGGCACCACCCGCTCCCGTGCATGCTTCTCACAGTAGATTTGATCTTCCACGAAGAAATGTCCTTTCTGCTTGAGGTTGGTGCCGCAGTCACTGCACACGTAGCACTCAGGGTGACGCTGTTTGTCCCGAATCTTCACAAACACCCCTCTGGGGAAGGAATCAGCACTCAGTACCAGCAGTTTGCCACTACAGCCCCCAGCCCAGCAACTCACCACCCTGCACCTCAGTGTCCCCACCGTGTAGGTCTCACCTCTGCCCAGGTGCTGACAGTATAGAGTCATGAGAAGCCTCCTCTAGAAAGCATGTCCTAGCGAGGACCTCAATTCCACAGGAACAGGTCCTAGTGCTTGTGCTGGCATGAAGCACTGCAATGGCAGCAATAGCCAACAGCAGAAGGCAGCCAACAGCCTTCAAGCACCCAGGGAGAAATATCAGGATCTGCTTGACCATCAGGTGAAGTGCAAACTCCATCTAGGTCCCAAACAACCAGATTTTAGACCACATCTGGAAGTGACTGCCACCACCAATAGAGAGGCACAGCCAGCCACTGCCCTCTGCTAAGGACTGCCTGCTCAGAGCAGGGGCACAAGCCAACTGGATCCCGACAGGTCTCAGACTCACTGTCCCACCCAGCATGGACAAGTTCTGGCTGGAAACCTTCCCAGACTGACCCAACAAATCTAAGGAGAACTACACAGCAACTTGCAAACTACCAGCAATAGCAGCACAAGTTGCCAGCAGCATTTGTTCCATCTATATTTTTTATCATTCATTACTTTTTAAAGCTAGTCATAGTCCTGTGCTTTCTCTCCAGCTGTACCTGGCTGGCAGAGTAATTGTATGATTTGTCTCTGATTCACATTTACAGCCTACAGATTGCTTCTGCAACAACTCTGATAGTCCTTAGAGATGGAGGCATTCCAGGCCCATGCAACACTGCACCTAGAAACACTGCATGGTAGAAAGCTGAGTTCTTCCATAACAATGCAGGTGGGCATCCAGCACTCAACCCCTGGGGCTAAGTGGGTTGGTTGCAGTAAACGAAGGCTAAGTAGGAAATGAGAGTATATCAGAGATATCTATGTTGGTTGTGCTGTCACAGCAGCTCTATCTAGCTCTTGCTGCGCTAGAAGTCAGACATACCCCCACAAAACCAACAAAAATTAATTCTGCATAGATCCCGTGGGAGATGTGTGGTACTGCATTAGTGCAGGAACAGAAGGCAGCTCTCCAAACCCACTGCGCACAGCTGCCAGGGCAGGACACCGCTGCATGGCTGAGAGTAATAGGAAATGGAAATCATTAA